TGTTAACTAACCTTAGATGGGTGCTTGACAACTTTAATGACTTGCACCTTCTGACAGCTACGGATGAACCTGACAAACCTTTCCAGGATATAGATAGCAATGGGTCCAACGCACCATTTCCAACTCTGTAAGCAAGGACACATGCAGAAAACAAAATCAACCATGTGCTTGTTTGGAGAAAATTCTCCAAGACAGTGACACCCATGCAAACGTTCTAGAAAAATCACATGGGTCAAAGAGACACCATTATCTATACATTGCAGAGTTACCGAAGTGAATGCATCTCACGCCCGAAGTGTGTAAAAGGCAACAGCACAAGAAACACCGTGTGCACCAACACGCATGCATTCTCCATTCGTTTGCACTTATTCAATACCTCATGCACGTACACCTTTATAACAAGGTTTTTAAGACTTTACAAATCACCTTGTTATACCAGGGGTCTTGTCTTATCAGCACTGGAAAACAAAGAAGATGGGGTCTTGGAAACTTCAAATTGATCTCCAAGCGGAACAAATTTAGAGGGCGTGTTTTTTGGTACTCACCACATGGGCGCGCCATGAGGCATGCAAGGATATGCGCATTTGACCTGCAGCATGCTGAGTATGCGTAACTAATTTATTCCGGCATGTATGGTCTTTGCGTACACGCAGAACGCGTGCAAGAACCCACTTGTAACAACATCTTTCTTTCGCCGATTGGGGTGCACTTCAGCGACTCGGGGCAGATAAGCCAACTGGTGTATTAACAGTGCTCTTGTTATCAATGGTTGATGGTCTACACTGCACATGTGTATCTCACACAAAATGTTAATATGTTTGTTACACACATAGAAGAAATTCATAAGACAGTTTACATCAGAGATAAAAGGCTACACAGGATTTGCAAAAAAAACTTGAAATGCCTTAAATATAAAAATCCATGATTTTAGCAGCTTCTTGAAATTGAAAAGAACCTATGATGAAATTACTCACTGCAGCACTGCCCATGACAAAGTTGGGATAAGGACAGGGTTGACTACTAGGAGTCCAGAGTTCTGGTTGCTGGGAACAGTAAGTAATGTTATGCTCAGCTAAGTTGTTCTGAGAACGGATCACACCTCTGTGAAAACAAATTAAAATGAACTCTCTTCAAATGTAAAACCATGGACTCCGTGCATATCGCAGAACAACCCCATGGCTAAAGAATTCCAAAGTTATTTTTGAAAGCAAAGTATGGGCAAAACCTGTTATTACAATAACATCTTCCCCACACAAAAGTACATCTCGAAAATTCAAGCCATACTTTGACTAAAAAACAAACGACCACATGATTATGCACCATTTCTTTCGCATAATGAGATGGGCTTATGCAGAACTGGACATTGGTTTCAATCAGTAGGCATTGACAAACAAGTTACATTTACATCCCTAGCTTTTCCTAAGCAGTCTAAAAATATACAGGTCCTGCACGGAACCCTTAACAAAATGCTGATAAATGAACCAATGCCTTTGGCGCCTTTGAGAAAAAAACCCTTGTCAGTTCTTTAATGTTCTCTTACCCTACTCCGTGGACGAGCAGCATAGCAAAGTAGATGACAAATAAATGATGCGTGACCCAGAATGTCTCAAAATATGAACGTCTGTAAGTTCAAGGAAAGAAAGCAAAGTGATAAACTCAAATCAGGGTTTATAGTCCCAGTCATGAGACAGAAATTCAATGAAGCCTGACAGTGTGTGGCAACTCTGACTCCCTCTCCTGATCTGAGTTGACATCTGCGACTTCAAACAAGACAGAAACAGGAATTTTCCGTTTTTGTGTAAAATAGTCTAATTCAGTATAGTTTGAGATTTTTGTCTCTGTTTTGCTGCTAAATTGGTAAAAGTTTATGCACAAAAAATGAAATTTTTATATGCTCAAGGATAATTAGTTAACAAAACTGAGAAGAAAGAATATCACCAAAAGAACATACACAGCATGATCCATGTGGACCCACTGGCAGCGACAGTAGGGAGAGGGGTGCAGATTGATCAGTGGCCCCACCTCCTGCTTTTGCAACGGGGGAGGGGCATTGTCCCCCATTTTATTGCAGATTCTATAATGGGATGAGGCTTCATGGATTGGCCTTTTAATGGCTGATGCCTGATGCTCTCACAACTACCCCCCCCCACTTTGAAAATCATTCCACCGAAATTGTGCAGACGCCTCGATCAAACTGTAAACGTTTCTTGAAATAGCAGCTCTGACTATTACTTGCAGTTATTGCAAGTCGTGTGTTTATTTACCCAATGACTAAGCAAACTGAGTGGGTGTCACTTTACAGGTATTGTTTGGTAGTTCAATCGTTTCTATGGAAGAGCACAGGACAAAGACGTAACACTGAATCCGCAGACTTCCTGAACTTTGAACACTTTCTATTTCCCCAATAAAACTCCCTGCAATTTACCAAGCTGCTTTTGCATAAACAACTGACAAATGCTCAGTAAGTTCCACATTCCGCATCCAAACGTGTCTATCCCCAAAACAGTTTGCTCAACTAAACATGATCCACCAATCAGGACAAGAGAAGCATTCTTTTATAACTTTTTCTTTTCTATATTCATAATTCTGAAGACCTCCCTCCAGATACCATTTCAATTGCAAAGCCTCCAAATGCCAATAAAAATGTCTGTTTTTAAGTGAATAAAACACAATCTCATCCAGCCATTAGCTTTGAAAGTTGCACTTTTCAAGTAGACATATAAGAGGACATATTTACCGAATGAACTCAGTGGCTGAAGAAAACATAATGATGAAGACCAGGGTAAGAACTACACCTGACCAGCCTGCAATCTGGATGACACCTTGCTCAATCAATGGAAAACCAAAAGGCAAAGCCTGTAAGATATAAAAACAAATATATTAATCAAAAAGGTACCAAGAAATGATTAAAGTCAATGAACCAATCAACCAACAAGTAACCACCTTGGACAGATACTTCTCTGAGGTTTTTCTCCCTCCAACAAAGGGTAATCTGTTGCAACTTTCATTGAGACATGAAAGGTAACACTTGCTCAATGGTGTTAAGAAAAAACACTTTGCTTTCTCAACTGAAATGAGGACTGAGGAGATCATTTAGGACAGAACTGTCGTCAACTCTTTCACAGCATGGAGTTTTTTGCCTAATAACAATGAAGACAAATACACGTGCTGTACAATGCAAAATGAGTTGATAGTTATGTCTGGATGTTTAACATTTGAGTCAAAAGTGCACATTGAAATCATCAAAAAGAAAAAACATACCTTGTTTTCGAACCTCACAGGATTAATCCAAGTTCCTCCCATGGCTTCTAAATCTCTCAATTTGCAGGAGACACCTTTGTAGGGGCTATCAGCAGGAAAATAATTTTCACAGTCGCGAAAGTGATCATACAAGTTGCGGAAGTTGAAGAAATGTGCGATGCAATGCACAATGTTCAATAGAGTGATCATGTAGGCTAGAGTCTTGTGAAATGTCAGGTTTTTGTCCAGTTGGCGACGAACACTTCTACGGCAAAGCTGTTAATTTAAGAAGAATACACAGAAAAATCAGTTGGCAAATACCTCTGCCATAAATTTCAAATTCCATTTATCATGTAACTTTTCTGCAATATTTGAAAAAAATGAATAAAAGATAAACAGTGAATTTTTTCTCTGGACTTTAGTTTCATGTTTTCCAAAGGCAGAATCTCAAGTCCAAAGTTTCAAGAGGGCAGCGTATTAGACTTGACTCAGCTTACCTTGTTTGTTTCGCAGGATCCTCGCAAGAATGAGATGAGATTACGACAGACTGGTAGAAGAATTAACATACTGTTTAAATTGAGACAGGCTCCGCAGGCCTTAGCAACGGACACACCAGGCTGTGGCATTGAAGATAAAACAACCCAGTATAAAGATAGGCCTATGGCTAGAAAATGTGACAGTAGCTGAAAAATTGAAACAAACATGTCATAATCTAACCAGATTGGGGCATTCCACATCAGAAATGTGCGATTTATCAACTGCAAAGCCATATGATGTAAAACAAAATGACATAACGACCAATTGTTTTGAATACGTCAGCTTTAGTTGGAAGCACATGTAGTAAATCAGGAATTCCTTTGATTGAGTCAAGATTCTCCAAATTTACTTTACATAATAACTTGTCTATGTTCCAGAAGACAATTCATGCTACCCGAATCCCGTTGACAAGTTGCAGTGAAGTTTCATCATCTTTGCGATTGTTTTTAATAGTCCTTTCAATGCCCAAGTTGTCAAGGCAAATTGTTCACAATGTTTATGGAGTCCAAACTGTCTAAACAACATGTACAAAAAGTTCAGGAGGAAACATCTTTGAAAACAATAACAAGCGAGAAAGTCAATCACAGGTTATGTACCTACCCCAATAATGCGTCGGATATAGAAGTACTGTGGTCCATACTCGTAGGTCCAAAACACCTGAATCCAATAGCCAACATTGGCACCCAACCACAACAACTGAAAATTTAACCAAAAGAAAATGATCACCTCCCTGAATATAAGTAGGGCTGTGCCGAATATCCAAATATTTGATCGATTGTCGAATATTCGAATATTATTTTTCGAACTTGAATGTTCACATGCAGAACATGAAAAGGAAGGGAAAATTTTTTTGTTTAAAATGAGAAAAATTGCACTATGGAGGCTTGTTTCAAGCAGTTTCAAATAAACAGGGTCAGAAATCCTACAATGATTTAGAAATTAAATTATTCATTAAACAATTAAAAGGAGTAGAAATTTTCGATAGGGCAAGAAGTCTCGTTCACCTCTTAAAACTGGCAAAATCGTGGCTGGAGATACTCCTAGATGTGAGAAGCTGTTATATTGATCATAATGTACAACTGTGTGTGTTCTTGCAACTGATTTTGTAATATGGTTTGTTCATTAACAATCTGCCAGTCGGTATGACTGAATATATGGATATTTGATCAAATTGAAGGTCAAATATTCCAAAAGTGAATTATTTGAATTGACTCAGCCCTAAATATAAGCAAACTTATGAAAACAGTAAAAGAATAAACATTGGTCCAGAATCTAAATTGCATAAATCAGACTCATGAACTTTTTTATTTTACAGAATTAATCAGACCACTTTCGTTGTGTCCAGGGTACCCTTGTGATAGTTTCTCCTTCCGTGTCCTTATCCAGAAATCATTTTGCTTTTAGAGTCTGGAAGTTAATTGTGTGGAACGAATAGACCTTCTGCAAAAGCAGTTTCCTCTAACCACACCTTTATGCATAGAGGTACACAGACTTGAAAAATTCACCAGGTTATCGGTAGTGTGCTGATGGCCATCTTTTAAAAGTAGGAAGTTGAAACTTCGGTTGGTGGGATGTTAGATCAGCACAACAAAAAAGAACAGGAAACGACTGCGGATGTGATGATGAACATGGTAAAAACATTATCTATCCGTCCGTTGTTTTTATTGTTTTAGGGAGACTGTGAAATTTTTTTCAGCATACCAACAGTATACGATACTAGAAACAAGTTCAGCTCTGAGTGTGAAACACTCAACACTCTTAGTTTGTTTATTTTCCAAATCCATATTTGTGTTGCTTTGGTTAACACCTATGGAAGAGTAAAGCCTATAACAAAATCAAAAGTACGGACTTTCCTCAAAAAGATACCAAATCAAATTTTCAAATACAGTCACTGTTCATAACCTTGCAAAATGACAATACACCCCAAATACTTATTTTTTTCTCACTTACGTTCCATTCCGAAACCAATTCCACACTGCATGTACCCAGAACATATGTACACTTTAGGTGTTGCTCAATGATGCATAAAAAACTGCTCATTTGAAGCTTACATGTATGTACCGTAACAGGTCATTTAGACAAAAAGTTTTGGGAATTATGATCATGCATGAAACCACAAAGGAAACTTGTTTAAAAGCTTATGAAATTCAAAACGCTTAGTAACTGGTTCCTCTGTTAACTGCACAACTTCAAAAAATTAGAAAGGGCTTTCACTGCAAAGAATAAATTCCACCATGTAAAGTTTCCACAAATATCCTGATTATCTAAATCTACACAGTTGTTAACGAAATTCTGAACAACTTTTTGACAGCAATTTAACTTGAAAATTTCAGATTTGAAAAAGCTGGATTTTTCAATCCAAGTGTTAATATCCAAACAGGTACATGTGTACCCCCTACTTCCTTCTGAAAAGATTTGCATGGCGTATGAGATCACAGTTTGGACATATCAAAGACACAAAACAGGTAGATTGCTAAGTCCAGGGGAGATTAAGATCACAAACTAGGACAAAAGGAGGGATTACCTAGCAAAAATAACTTCCTCTTAGCCGACTCAAACCCGGGCACCAACCAGGAAATAATGACTGGCTGACCAAAGTACACTCTGTACACTTTATGATTAAGCAGATTCTCAAACACAGACCCAAAGCATGGAATAATCAACATGCTCGTGAATGTCCTCGTGTTACTTGTCCTCATGCGGAAATTTTATTCAGCCATTTAAAATAAATGAGTAAACTTTCACCATTGGTTTGAAAACTGTGGCCATGCAAAGTATATTATTTTCTAAATTGAACCTTACATTCAAAGATTAACTCTTCGAAAACTTCTTTAATCCAGTAAATTACATGTACATGTATTTGTATCCTAGACAGGACTTAGTTCTGGAGCCACTGTGACAAGAAAATTAATAACTAGGAATAAGAAGACGCTCAAGATTATGAAATTATTTTTTTAACATTGTTCAGTGTACTTTTTGGAAGGAAACATTGACTGCTTGATGTAGCTCCGTTTCTTACCGCATGATTTACACTATTACATAACTTGATAGCACTGCTCTCTGAATTCATCATCACTTTTTTCAAAAAACATTATTATTTCCTTGAAGTGTTCCCAGTTGTAGGTGCATATTCTTCTCTTACATTTTAGTTTCTTTCAAGAGTTATTGCCAATATCTTTGCCCTTTAACTTTCCATGCACACCTTAGAAAAGATTATTTCCTGAGCTTTCAGAGATTGGTTAGAGGTTTCCTCAAAGTTCAATATCTGACTCTTTACAAATGTCAAAGTGGATTAGAATTCATCCAGCTATACCAATAACCTGTCTGTAATGAGAGAATTCAACCATAAAAAGCTTACCCCAAGTTTATTGTGGATGGAACAATTAGGGTGCATGACACCAGGTTGCGTATGACCTTAATTCATTGCAGAATAGGGGAAATTTAGGCTTTAAGTCAGCACATGTGTGGGGTGTTACCTCCAACCTACAATCACCCTTGCCAACCAATTCTGCTTAAATGTCACCAGTTTCATAACTACACACTATGTCCCGTGTACATGTAAACGCTCTCTGCATGTGCAGTTTTAGGAAACTGGTTTTCCCCCCCAGAATTCAATCTCTGACTCCTTACAAATGTCTATGTGGATCAGAATAGATTTAGCATTACAACCCATTTGTAGTGAAACCTACATTAATACAAGTCCAAGTTTATTCATGGACTGAAGGATTAGAGCTTCAAACCAACGCACCTGTTAAAGTGAACCTGCAATGAATTTTTCACTGACACAACTTTTCTGCATCTTTGTTTTTTTCTTCAATGTATGGAAACTCTTCCATGCTCCTGTTTGGTTAAATGCATTGAAAAGTACACACTTGTAAACAATCAGAATTATCCATGTTTTCCCTGACAACTGAGGGTGCTGTTGCAGTGAAGTCATCTAGTGAAGACATGGCTCAGTGCAGTGCAGTTCAGAACCAAGAATTTACCGACTGAAAACATTTCTGAGAGCGGGATTGATGGTTTCTCATTGCCATGCACACAAATAACAATGAATCATCCAGGAAAGAAGAGAAAACTTAGTCCGGGAAAATCTACAAAAACTGCGCAGGACTTGCTGTGTACAAACCAATGTAACATTGGATGCATTCGATTAGCTTACACGTGTAAGTCAAACTTACACGAGGCGTTTGTTTAGCCATCACGTGATCCTCGTGCCTGCCCTGGTGTCAGCCACCACTACCCCACCTGGCGAGCGGGTCTCTGGAGGCTGCCCGAGTGTAATGATGTCACGGATGGACTGTTAGAGCATGGACGTACATGATGGAACGTGGCGGGGACTTGACCTTTTTCCCACAATGCCTTGGCAAGTACACTGGAGCATTCGATTACCCTCATTTCGAGGCTTCCCTTCCGTGTAACACTGGTGTATTCAAGAAAGCTAATCAAACGCACCCTATGAGGCTTCTTCCTGAGAAGACATCACAGTTTTGCTCATGAATATGGAAATCTCATTAGCATAAAAACCAAGAGGCAATAGAATACCCTTTGAAATTTGTGAATTTGAAAACAAGCTTTACTGAGGCACAAAGATGCATTTTACAGGTTTGTAATAAAAAACATTGATTGCAGGTACCCTTTCAGCATCTCCTCCAAGGTACCATGTGCCCTGCCAACAAAGCTGGCACTGTTTTCAACGTCTATACTTGCGGGGCTGAACCCCCTCTCTCTATAGATCACAGTATTTATTAGCTTTTGCTGCCCCTGGCCCATTGGGGAATAGCCATGTGTACTGTACTGTGTTTTGTATTGTTCTGTATTTTACATTATTGTATTGTTTTGTCTTATCTGATGAGATGGCTGCATAAATTAAATAAAAAAATAATACCCAGCATGCACCTTATATCTACCTGCTCTGAGGGTGCAACTGAGGGTGTCAATAACAGCAAAGAAACAATAGAACCCCCACCAAACCCCTCCCTTATTCCACACCAACCATCAACATACCTGTCAATCTCCAACATTTCATTTATCGGTTACCATGTAACAACTTTAAGAGTCCTTGTTCCCAGACAAGCACATTATAAACATTACTTTTAAAGTAAAGTTTTGAAATACAGGTTTCTGGACTCCTTTGGAAGCTTCATGACCACAGTAATGCATCAAACAATTTCCTAAAATAACTTGGGAAAGAGTTCCATATATCATACGCCTTATCCAAAATACTGCACAAATGACTTTGTATCATGGTAGAAAGGCATTGTGGCTTGGCAAAAGGTTCAACGTTTGCTCCTTTTTCCTTCCCACAATGCTTTTCTACCATTGTGCGAAATTAATCACTCATGCAGTATTTGCGATAAAGCTTATGGAGTACACTTGATGCCTCTGTGTACAAACCAGTGAGACCAGCTAAACCTCCCTTTTTAGGACATGTAATCCCTTTCTAATGGCTCTTATAACATATAAATGATGCCTTATACGTGTTGGGTAAATGCATACATTTTTTACCGGGCTTAAGTGAACCAAACAAAGATACATCTATATAAACAAATTAAGGAATCAAAAATAGCACTATGTCGAACATTTTGTTTTTGTGAAATCGAAAGCAAGTTCAGTTCTTAAGCAAGATTTGAAACTCGACTGAGACTCCACTGAGGAGGTACACCATGCAGAATCGATCAACTGGAAGACGAGAGATCGATTCCTCCATGATTCCACACACAACGCAACACACAAACTTCTCACATTTGAACAAAACTCAGGGAACTTACTAAGAAAATCGTCTTCAGACCTTCGTTGATCAGTCGATCTCCCATACTGCTTTAAGAAAATTCACTTCTGATGGAAACACTCGTAAGAAATTCACGTTGCGATGATGTCCAAAAGCGTAGTCCGTGTTACAAGCGCTGCGGGGTTAGGCGCAGAGCAACCATGGGGCGAAGCTTGCTCCAAACCACGCCGATCCTCGCTCCAAACCACGCCGATCCTCGACTATCGATAAGTATCGGTGTGTTTACGTACTCTACTTTTTCAGTAGCACTAGCACTTTATCCTAAGTAAGCCACTGTACTTCCGTCAGTGTTACTGCAAACTAAACTCATGAAAACACCAGTCTAGGTCCCATAAAAACAAAAGTCCAGAGAAGTGACAGGAACTGGCGAACTTCGTTACATATTTCGGAGATGTCTCTTGATAGATACACCCTCGCTGTTGTCTGGTGTAGTTGTGTCGATTCACCGGATGGACGAATTCGCACAATAAACGCTCAAGCTTCGTGAAGCACTCCACTTTTCAGGACGATTTACTTCCGCGTATCACCGTCCTTCCTTTAACAAGGACACACACCAATGGGCGTCATGCAGACATCACCACACTGATCTTCCAATTCAATACGTTTTCCGGCCCACGGTGTTTTTATTCGGTCAGGGACCTTGAGCCGTTCGACTAAAAACCAATAGGACGGCCTATCAAGAGGACTGAACCAGTAATTCAGCAGAGGGGTCGTTTTTTAAATTTATGGGTAAATATTTGCATTCATGACCGATCACAAAATTTCAACCAACACCAGTATTTGTGTATGTCTCTATATTCTTTATTCTGACATGAAAATTAAAAGAACTTACGGGTTTGACGAACCAGACCGTTTTTATGAACGCAGAGGTCAGTTCAAAACAATGACATTTCTTTGCACATGTATTCCATTCTTTCTCATCCTGTTACGGTAAATCTAAAACCTTCCCTACGTGAATTAATGGGAACTGTGAATAAATGAGAAAAAGGTTGCAATTTTTTCAATATACCTGCTATGATTAGTGTATCTAAGCTTCAATCTCTGAGAAACAGATTGCCTATTTGAGTTTTAAAATTTTTTTCTAAAATCTTATTAATTCTTAAATAACTTTATCTTATAAATTCCTTCCTAAACCCTGTTTGTGGCTCACTACAACACTTATCTACTTTGCATAAATGTTTCTTTGTGCAAAATGGTTAGATTATACTTCAAGCAAATGCCAATTCAATGTGAATTTTGTAACCACAAATTACGGAGCAGTGGTTACGTAAAAGTTGAATACATTTCATCCTCTCTTGATGTCAAATTCACTTTGTGTTAACATTTAAGTCAAGAAATATTAATCAGCCCAAGCACTAAGCAACAGGTGCAAAAATAAATGATTTCTATTGTATCAGAATTCCTAAAAATAGTATTTGTTTTGTTATTATTTATAAAAACACTTCTAAAACTTAATTACAAAGTTTAGTTACTACAAAACCGACTTTCTTCATGTCAAAATCGACTCCAAGAATACAGAAATGTCCCCCTACAAGAGGTTGGTTCTGAACCCAAACATTTGTTATATGACTATTTCTGTACTCTTCAGTATCTGATAAGTTCTTGTCCAGTATCTGATAAGTTCTTGTCCAGAACCTGATAAGTTCTTGTCCAGTATTTGATAAGTTCTTGTCTTCCCATTAGTCAAGCCCATAAGGTATTTGGTGAGGGTATGTTGCTATTTTTTAATGGAAAGCTACTTGACTTTCCATTAGAGTGGGAAAATTCTTTTACAAATGAAGAAAAGGACAATCACTTAAGGAAGAAATTTGTATTTAGCCTCTCCCACTCGAAATCTGGAAAGCATCAAGTGTAGTTTCATTGGATTTGCCAGCAGAATGGCTTTCTGATAAGCTACATGAATTGGGTACAAAAACAGTGCAAACAGAGTTTTAAAAGCAAACCGCATGCAAAAACTCTCCAAGTAAAAAACTGCCACAAACTAATCAACTAAATCCTAAAACAAAAGGACATGCTTGAGAGTGAAACTGGAAGAGATTAATTTATCTTTGTGCACAAATATTCAAGTCTGTAGGAAAGACTTTCACTCTTAAAAAGATCAAAAGGTTAACCAGCCTGTTATGTGAAAAAAGGGAGATTCCCAATATCAAATGAAAGACTCCAATCAGCATGACTTTACACTGTTCTTGTGACTTGCCCCGTCAAGCTAAAACTTCATATGTTAGTGGGGTGATGCAAATGGAAATGTATTCCACAACTAGACTCCAAACTCTCAAAACTGATGCAAGTTCTTCTTTAGTACCTAAAGTTGGATTTGTTTCAATTTTGAGAATCTCACATACGATTTTTCCAAAATCTCAACAACTTCAAGATGATTTGAGCTTCTCAGTATAACTATCAACCCCACAATATCTTCATCAATGCCCTCCAATAGGGGGAAATAACTGCAACGTGTCTTACTCATGCAATCCTCTGTACAGATTCAAATTGCCACTCCAACAACTCAGTAAAGGACAACTTCTGTGTAATGACAATCTGTCACCCCGATCCCTACGCCAAGACCTTTTTGGTTAAGGGCTGGCTATGCAGGGCTTCCAATAATTTCTCTTAAGGAATTTCAAGGACTTCTCTACGTTTTCCTAGACTGCAGTGAAACACATCTTCAATGACAAATCTAATAACAGGTGGAAGGGATTGTGTCCTATCCAAGGTAACGGCACTCAAATACAACCAGATTGGAGGGAACCATTTTATTTACTGGGTTCAGGATTTTCTTTGACTGGAGCTTCTGAGACACCTGCTGGTGCAGATGCTGGTGCTGTCACTGGTGCTGTCGCTGGTGCAGTAACCGGTTCCGTTGCTGGTGTTGGTGGTATTGCTGCAGCTGCTGGTGTTGAGGCTGAAGTTGCTGCGGCAGCGACTTCTTCAGCTGGCTTAGATTCACTAGAACTGTAAGTATCAAATTGTTACACACATTGAAGGGACAAGAATTACACGCATACTGTATTTTATTTGGACTTCACTCATTCGTCAGATACACAGTACAGACAATATCTTTTCATTTCTAACTTTCTGCTGATAAAAATAATGGCATGTAAGATGATACTACAAGGGCAGAAAGGGAGAAAGAATTCTGAAAGTTTGCAAACGACAGGGTACTTATTGTTTGCTAACTAGTGTTGCAACTGGGATTAATTTACTAGGATCAACTTAATAGTTGTTTAATCCATTGACCCAAAGGGTACTTATTGTTTGCTAACTAGTGTTGCAATAGGGATTAACATACTAGGA